TCAGGGTTTTGGGTTTAGGGTTTTGGGTTTTGGGTTTAGGGTTTCGGGTGCTTACCGTGCAGGGATATGGGTAGTTCTCTAAATTAGGGTCCCTTTTTAGGTCCGCAATATAGTACGGCACCCTTATAAAAAGGATTCCAAAAGGGACCCTAATTTAGAGAACTACCCCTGTGTTTTGGTATTCAGGGTGCAAGGTCAGAGCTAAAGCCGACTATAGATATACTTGCTGGAACCCGAGGTCAGCTGACGCGTCGCTGATTATACAAGCAGCCATAAGCCCTGAAGCGGACACCGACATGGAGGTTCATGGGTAGTTGCCAGTGAGGTTATAAGTAGGCTAACTACATTTATAAACCATACTCGGGGACTTAGAACCCTGCCTATGACTACCCATGACCCTAAATCCTAAGCCAATATAGAACCCTTAAACGAGCCCTTCAAAGAACCCAAACTATCCATGAACCCTAAACCCTAAACCTTAAACCCTAAACCCTAAACCCAAACTATCCATGAACCCTAAACCCTAAACCCAAAAAACACTAATTGCACCCACTGGTGACCTAGGATTCTTGCAGTCCTTCAGCGCCAGCCTGCAACCTAAACTTCGAACCCCAGGCCCTAAAAGCCCAACCGCACTCCCTAGGTTTAGGGCCTCGGGGTTCAGGGTTGAGGGTTTAGGGTTCAGGGGTTTAGGGTTCATGGGGTTTAGGCTTAGGGTTTGGTGCATAATATGGGGGCCGAAATAAGTACCTGCAATATTTTGGGGGTTCCTTAGTTAAACGTTTAGGGCTTAGGGGTTCAGGGTTGAGGATTTTGGGATCTGGGGTTTAGGGTTTAGGGCTTAGGGTTTTAGGGCTTTCGAGTTTTTAGGGTTTTAGGGCTTTCGGGCCTTGGGGTTTTGGGGTTTAGGGTCTGGGGTTAACTTAACAGTGAAACCCCAAACCCTGAAAACCCTCACCTCCCAGAGAAATCGGCAAACTGACAAGATTTATAGGCTTCCGTCTGAGGTATACTATACCATATTTAGACTGGGGACTCGAGGGACTTGAGGGGACGATGTTACCAGTTGCTCAAACCGCTTCCACATCTAGAGCCCTGAACCCTAAACCCAAACTCTAAACCCGAAATCGAAAGCCCTGAAGCCCTGGCCCGAGACCCCAGAACCTTTAACCCCGAAAGCCCTTACCTCCAGACCCCAAAACCCCAAACCCTAAAGCCTAAACCCTCAAACCAACCCTAAACCCTAAACCCTATTGCAGGTCAGCAAGGCCCTCTTTGCACGAGAAGAGGCAGCCGTCGCGCAGGTGGTGTCCCTTCCCTGGCGAGGGGGTGCTCATTGTGCTTGGCTTTTTTAGGATTTAGTGTTTGGGGTTCAGGGTTTGGGCTTCAGTGCCAGGGGAATGAATATTAGCAATTAGTCCTTGTCCGGTTTCACCTGTTTCGGTTGCACGTCTTGCTACTTCTGTTGGTCTTAGGGCTTTGGGTTCTTGTAGGTGTCCGGAGTTTCATCAAGGTGCTTGTAAGCACTTGTGGAGCCTATATTAACGGTCTTCGGGTTCCTACCAGGGAGGGTTGGGCGCTTATGCTTTCCGGTTGTCTTGGAGTGATTTTATGTGTGATCCCTGCAATTCGTCACACGTTTAGGATTTAATTAGGGGTTTAGGGCTTAGGGCCCTAAGCCCCTAATCCCTAAGGTGTCGTTTGCCTTCAGGATCTGCCCCCTACACCAAGCCTTTGGCCGAAGCCCTGAGCCCTAAGTTTGCCGATTCGTGCCCACGGGCCCCACAAAGCACGCTCTTCTTCTTCTTCCAAAACAGGCCAAAGCCCCTTCCTAACAGACGCCAAGCTTCTGAATTATGGAGGCTGCGGTCCCGAGTTTGGATACTTAGCCCCAAGGTACAGCTTGCCGGCTCTAAGCGGCTCGAATGATGAATTGGCTGCCCTAACCCCTAAACCCTAAACTCTGTCTCTCGCTCTTGTCCCCTCAAGTGCCGTGCACTGAAGTTGATAATCAGCATCTCTTCGACCCCTCCTTCCCTTTAGGGAACACTGAACCCACCTTATGAAGGACTCAAACCCAAACCCACTGCCTTAGGGTTTAGGGTTTAGGGAAGTTATGCAGAATCATCCAAGATCCAACTTCGCCCAGGCACGCTAGCAGAAACACACCACCGGGCACACCCAAGGACAGTTGGGTAAAACTGCCAGTGGTCATGCCCTTGAGCCCCGAGACTCCAAACTCCCTTAATTAAGGAACGCACCTTAATCTACAACGTGGATCCTTGTTATGATTCAATTAAAGGTATGTTCGTACATAAAGGAATTACCTTAACTTACAAAGGGGAGAAGGTACATTCCTTAAAAGAAGCGGTTTTGGAGTCTCTGGGAACACCCAACCTCCCAACCACTGACTGGACGAGCATCTAACACCGTCATCCAAGAATTCAGCTTCCGGCGCGGCTCCCGGACCCCCAACATTGGAGTCGCGGTAAATAGTAATAGGTTCCTGTAGAATCCGTAGAACTCTACATACTACACAAAACTCCCAATGTCCCCCATGTTAACTGAGTTCTGTTGCAATCCCAGACACCAGGGCGACATCTCGCCCTTCAGAAGTGGCTTCAGGGTTTAAGGGTGCCAGGTTGGATGACAGGCTTTGTTCAGTGCTTAGAGTCCTCATGGTAACTAGGACTGCGGGAAGGGGGCTTAGTGGTGACAGTTGCCTGTGTAGTCCGCCATGTGAATAGATGCGGGAGAACACTCAAGGAAACTACCGAGGAACGATAGACGATAGTCATTGTCACTGCGGCTAGTTAGTGGTGACATGTGCATGTATGAGTGTACATAATGCACATATGCAAGTTAAGATGTTTCCGACATGGAGACTGTGCAGCCCAGACTTCAAGACGGTAAGTACAGTGCCTCGTAAGGAGTATCGATTTGGACGCAGTCCAGAAGCCCCGGCGGCCATAAAGTGTTTCAAGAACCGGAGCGTGTACATCCTTTGTGGTTTTGTTCCTGTTGCAATTAATGTGGTTTAGGGTTTAGGGTTCAGGGATTAGGGGATGTAAGCATTATGGCGAGGACACTGCGAAGAAGACTGAGCATCATGCATTGACGACGATGATCAACATGACACTCTACACCCAAAAACTGAAACGAAAAGCTCCGAATCTCCGACCCGCCCCTTTCCGCAGAAACACATCACATGACTTAGTTATATTATGGCCTGAAAGCTGCAGACAGATCCTTAAACGCTTGAGGCCTATTACGTATGACCTCAAAACTGCAGAGAGCTGTGGCCAAAGCTTTCCAAGGAAACCCCAGGACAAAAACAGCGTAAAGGGACCCTTTAAAGTAACCCAAACTAAGACGATCCTTAAGAAGAATGCAGTGTTCCTCAAACTAATACGATCCTTAAGAAGAATGCAGTGTTCCTGTTCCAAACCCTAGGCCCTAAACCCTAAACCCTAAACCCTAAACCCTAAACCTCAACTGCTCATCGAGGACCAGGGGCCCCTCGACGATGACATGGACCTCTGGTCACGGTCCCCGGCGATGAGGACTCTTTAGAGTTTAGGGTTTGGGGTTTAGGTTTTCCGGCTATATCGAGTGTTTACGCAGCTTGAATAAGAGTTAAGGTTTGGGTTTGGGGTTTCGCAGTGACGTGGTTTGGGGGTTCCGGGGTTTATCAATTCAGACAGCTGTTACGTTCCGTACTTCCGCTGCTAGATTTTGCCACTCTTGTTCTGACCGAAACTGCTCGTTTTCCTCGTTGTTCGGGTGTTCGGGTCAATGATGGTGAGGATGTTGACTTCACGCTAAACTGCCGACTGTGAATCCTAAGGCCCTCAGCGCCAATGGCGAAACCCCAAGCCCTCAACCCTAAGCCGTAAACCCTAACATACACCTTCGCTGCTTGCCCCACCCCGATCCCCTGGCAGTGCCTGTCGTTACTTAGGGTCCGAATAACTCGTGATATCCCCTCATGGTCTCTGCACCCCCCCGCCCCCCCCCCCCCCCC